TTTTAATCCACTTCTCCTGTGCCTGGTAAAAATCTTTTACCGGCGCAGTCTCGTTACGATATACATCAATTCTATTCTGAATTACTTCTGGATTCGCATCATCAGGACGACCGCTTGTTTTTGCACGATGTGCCAAACGCGTCTTCAATTCCTCCTCTTCAACATCCAAAGAAATCATAGATGTAATTCCAGTTGAGAACTCAGCAAGGAATTCATCCAACGCAACCGCCTGAGCATTTGTTCTCGGGAATCCGTCAAAGATGAATCCTTTTGGATCCTCATGCTTTTTGAATTCCGCTTTCAACATATTAATAGTTACCTCATCAGGAACCAATTGTCCCTTATCGATATAGTTTTTTGCCAAAACACCAAGTTCCGTTTCTCCTTTAATGTTTGCACGGAAAATATCTCCAGTAGACAAATGCACCAATCCGTACTTTTCAATCAATCGTTCTGATTGCGTTCCCTTTCCTGCTCCTGGAGGTCCAAATAATACGATATTCAACATCTTGTTTTGTGATTTTTTAGTTTGACGGATTTGGTAGATCGCGTCAAGGTTTCTCCCCTTTTCGTTGTAATCCAATCCGTATCCAACTACGAATGCGTTTGGAATGGAAAATCCTATGTAGTCAGGTTTATGATTTCCTTTAAACGATGCTGGTTTATACAACAATGTGCAGACTTTCACAGACGCAGCATTCTCATACTCCAACAGGGAAATAATTTTATCAATGGTGATTCCAGTATCAACGATATCCTCGAGAATAACAACATCTTTTCCTGTCAAATCGGTATTAAACCCAATCAACTCATCCACTCGACCGCGAGACTCAGTCCCACTGTATGAACTCATTTTGATAAAGCTAATCTCACTGACAAGATCGATGCACTTGTATATATCCGAGGCGAACATAAACGCACCATTCAGCACTGAAATAAAAATGACTTCCTTTCCGGCATAGTCCGCGTTTATCTCGCGGGCCAATGAACGGACCTCATTTTGAATTTCATCCGCCGTTATGAACGTTTCAAATGATTTATCAAGAACTTGAATCACTCTACTATTGTTTTAGATGTGCAAAAGTACCATTTTTCTTAGAATT